AGGACGTTTTCGCTCATTCTCGATTGGTTTTTGACCGATTGACAAAAAACTGACAAAAAAAGACAAAACAAGTGTGACTTATGACGAGATTCTTTCGAGAGTTATTTTCTGAAAAGTCTCAAAATTTTGTTATCTTACACTCTAGCTGACCTACTCGTCACATTTTCCACTGCAAATGATGGGTGTTTTGTTCGTTTTCCTTTCCGTCTAAATTTTAAAATTTCTCTGCTGCATTTAGCAAAACTTTTAAGTGAGTGAATGAATGCCCTCTGCATTGACTTTGCCCAATTTCATGATGTGTTCTGTTTCTGATCATGTGACACTATCCAGTGGCAGCGCTATGCCTAACTGTAGCAGCAACGATGACGGCAAACTCATTACCGATAATTCTAAAAATGCTGATGAGTAGGGTGTTTTTTGAAAGTTTCCTTCGAACTGATATAAAAGTACCTGTTTCATCACTTACAGTCATCCATAATTTCAAGAAACTTGCCGTATAACATGTCCAAAATACGTTTTATTGTCGTTCTGCTGGCGACATTATCAATTGCTCTATTGGCAGATTCAGCTCCTTTGTCGAGGTTTGACTTACTTTAGTCGAATTTTTTGTTCCTTTCTCCTTTGAAAACGTCAATCACGGATTCTATAGTGAACTTACATTGGGGAACACTGGTTTCGGCAAGGTACTTCGTCAGAGATTGCAATCGTTTGATCGTTTGGGTGGTGGTTTTGGTCCACGTTAAAAGATCAGAAGGCAGATGATCTACCTGTGAGCAAAGTCGTGGACTAGCCAGAAATCTAGTCTGCATTGAAATTGAAGAAGATTATGTGTTTACAGAGTTAAACGTCAATACTGGTCCTATTGGGCTCCAGTATATTATTGGTATCCAGACTATTACTACTATGATTATCCGGGTTATTTGAACGCATGGTATTGGGGCAGCTCCTATTGTTACTATTATCCTTGCTCGTACGGTTACGACTACGGCTACGGTGAAACCGCTTACGGCACGGGAGCAGGTGAGATACTTTTTTCGGCAGGACCGAGTCAATTCTAATCGTTTCATGAGAATTTTGTTAGTNTTCAGAGGGCGTGAGTTCGATTCGATTGATCTGTTCAGAGGGCGTGAGTTCGATTCGATTGATCTGTTCAGAGGGCGTGAGTTCGATTCGATTGATCTGTTCAGAGGGCGTGAGTTCGATTCGATTGATCTGTTCAGAGGGCGTGAGTTCGATTCGATTGATCTGTTCAGAGGGCGTGAGTTCGATTCGATTGATCTGTTCAGAGGGCGTGAGTTCGATTCGATTGATCTGTTCAGAGGGCGTGAGTTCGATTCGATTGATCTGTTCAGAGGGCGTGAGTTCGATTCGATTGATCTGTTCAGAGGGCGTGAGTTCGATTCGATTGATCTGTTCAGAGGGCGTGAGTTCGATCCGATTCAGAACGCGTCGGTCGAAAATCTTTGACGAAGTTTGATCTCATTCAAGAGATAATCAAGAGGGTTTAGTCGCGACAAAGAGCGAAAACGTTCAGATGACACGAAGTCAAAGAACCATTTTTCAGTGGAACCTCTTCGATAGGACCACTATTTTAAATGGTTACTGATCTGAGCGCTTTGCCTCGCCAAACTCTTCTATCGGGATTAACGAAGATTTAAGTGAATTCTCGCAATTTATTGGAGCTCTCATCGCGTTTCGTTGAAATTCTTCG